AGAGATTTTTAAGCAACATCTTTCTCTTTAGATTTTTACTGTCTCAATATATCTTTCCTGTTGATATAATTATTCTTCTTTACCTAGAATTTATCATATTCCTATCCTCCCCACACTAGATAATATTGGTTATAGAAGAAGATACTCAACTCCTTTTTTAAAATTATTAATATATTTTTATTGATTTCAGAGAGGAAGTGGGGAGAGAGAGAGAGAGAGAGAGAGAGAAACATCAAAGATGAGAGAGAATCATTGATCGGCTGCCTCTTGCATGCCCCATACTGGGGATCAAGCCCACAACCTGAGCATGTGCCCTTGACCAGAATCAAACCTGGGACCTTTCAGTATGGAGGCTAACGCTCTATCCTGAACAAAACCTGCTAGGGCCATACTGAACTCCTTAACATGGTCTTCAGGGCCTCCAGAGTCTGGCCTTAGCCTATGTTTCCAACTTCTGTTTGATTACTTTCTATCACAAATTTGATACTTTTGCCCTGGCTGGTTTGGCTCAGTGGTTCGAGCACCAGCCTGGGGACCAAAGGGTCTCAGGTTTGATTCCAAGTCAAAAGCATGTACCTGGGTGGCAGGTTCCATCCTTGAGCTCTGGTCAGGGTGCATACAGGAAGCAACTAATTGATGTCTCTCTCTCTCTCTCTCTCTCTCTCTCTCTCTCTCTGTACCTCCGCCTCACCTCTCTTCCAACCCTTCCATTCTCTCTAAAAATCAATGGAAAAAAATATCCTCGGGTAAGGATTAACAACAATAATAAAATTTGACATTCTTGACAAACTCGATTATTCACCATGTATCTTCAGTTGCTCACTCATTCATTTATTCTTTTCATTCATATACTTTACATTTGCTTACTATATGCCAGAAACTTTGCTAGGTGTTAGTGATTAATGATTTTAAAAATGTGTATGCTTGCCTGCATTTGTCAAGAATGAGCCCAGCATGCAAAAGGAGAGGAAACAGATGAGATTAAAAAAAAAAAAAGAGTGAGTAGCAGGCATGCTGAATGTCTGTCCCAGTCCTTGAGGCCACGGTTCCTGGTGTAATTCCTTCAATTCCATAATGACTGTCAACATTCAGCCACCTGAGCCCAGGAATCCCAACTTGGCACCAGCCATTTTCAACAGAAAAAAATCCTGACTGACACACTTGCCACATTAAGAACTCTGCTGTACATGGTAAGGCAAAGGGAACTACAGAGAAATCTTAAAATACAAAATGTTTTTAAATGGATCAAAAAGCTTTAAAGGCTCAAAAATGCATTTAAAAAGCAGTTCCAGGGGACTGTATATGAGATGGATTTCAAGGGAGACCATTTAAGCAGAAGAAATACTGTTGAAGAATTTTGTCCTTAGAGAATTCCTGACTATTGAAATAGTCCAGCAAGGCCCAGCTCACCTGGCGCCTCTGCCTCTTCTTTAGTGTCTTTCTGATCTCACTCAGCTGGCATGAATGGCCCTTTGTTCTGCATTCCTGCGGCACTGTACCTGGACCTCTGACGACACCACAGTGCACCAGAAGCCCCTGGAGGGCTTGTTAAAAGTGGATTGCTGGGCCCCACCCTGAGAGCGTCTGATTCCAAGAATTCCAACAAGTTCCAGATGCTACTGGGGGCCCCACTTAGAGAACTACTGCTCTAACACATTTCACGTGGCAGTGTTCTACACCGTTTGCTCATCAGAATCCCCTGCTAAATTAAAAGCTCCTGAAGGACTTTCTAATTTTTCTTCGTAAAACTCTCAGAAGCTAACATACTGTATTACACAAAAGTGGTATCTGATACGCATTACTAACTGTGGAGGTAAGAGAAACATCTTACCATAATAAATTCCCTCAGTTAACACCCAGATTCCCTAAAAACTACAACAACAAAATGAACTCTGTAACTAGAGAAAAGATTGAAAGGCAGCATGCATCTTGACTTCTTTGGGACTGCCTAATTTTTATTACATCCTCTATCTGATTTCTTTTAATCCTTGAACATAAAGGACAATGAATATTTTCAAATATGAGAAAGCTTGATGTGCATGAATCTAGAGAAGTTAAGACTAGCATTTTTTTCTTTCTCTTGCATGTGCTTCTATTCTTCTTCTTCTTCTTTTTTTTTTTTTTGTTAAGCCTCACCCAAGGAAAATTTTCCCATTGATTTTTAGAGAGAGTGGAAGGGAAGGGGATAGACAGAGAGAAACATCTATGTGAAAGAGAAACATCGGTTGGTTGCCTCTCGCATGCAGCTGGACCGGTCCAGGGATTGAGCCTGCAATCAAGGTATGTGCCCTTGACTGAAACTGAACCAGAGACCCTTCAGTCCTCGGGCTGACGCTCTAACCACTAAATCAAACCGACGAGGGCTCTATTTCTTCTTGATTTAGTTGTCATCTGACAACACAAGGGAAAATAACATTTCAAGCATTTTTCATCCCAATGTTAGGAAATGCTGATCAAACTAGCTTCTTTGTAGGTTCTTATGGCAAGACATTCTGTCCTTTTAGACAATGTTGCCTTATAGCTATTTAAAAACACCCAGGAAAAAATTTAAATAAGAAGGTGAAATCTGTAAGACATTGAATAAGATATACATAGATGGAAAGATATACCACACTCTTGTGGATTGGAACAGCTGATATTGTTAAGTCCACACTACCTAAAGCAATCTACAGGGTCAATACAATCCATATCAAAATTCAGTGTGGCTCAGTTGGTTGGGCATCATCCTGTGCACCAAAGGGGTGTGAGTTCAATTCCTGGTTGGGGCATATGCCTGGGTTGTAGGGTTGGTCCCTGGTGGGGAGTGTGCAGTGATCGATGTTTCACTCTAATATCAATGTTTCTCTATCTCCCCTCTGCCTTTCTCTCTCTCTAGAATCAATGAAAAAAAAAATCATATCCTTAGGTGAGGATTAAAAAATTCCAATGGCATTTTTCACAAATTAAAAATTATTCTATAATATGTATGGAGTCACAGAAGACCCCAATTAGCCAAAGCAGTCTCGAGAAAGAATAACAAAGTTGGAGGTAACACACTTCCTGATTTCAAACTAAATGATAAAGCTAAATTAATTAAAACAGTATGGTATTTTTAAAAAACAGTTTGGGACTTGACATAAAAACAGACAAACAGATCAATGGAACAGAATAGAAAGCTCAGAGATAAACCCATCCATATATGGTCAATTAATTTACAATAAAGAGTCAAGAATATACAATGGGGAAAGCAAAGTCTCTTCAATCGATGGCACTAGGAAAATTAGACAGCCACATGCAAAGGAACAAAACTGGACCAGACACAAAAATTAATTCAAAGTGAATTAAAGACTTGAAACCATAAACTCCTAGAAGAAAATATAGGCTACCTCTCTCACATTGGTCTTGGCAATGATTTTTGGGATTTGACACCAAAAGAAAAGTTAACAACAACAAAAGATGCTCAACATCCCTGATCATCAGGGAAATACAAATCAAAATCACAATGAGCTATCACCTCACACCTGTTAGAATGACTATCAAAATGTGAACAGATAAATGTTGGGAGGATGAGGAGAAAAGGGAACCCTTGTGCACTGTTAGTAGAAATGTTAAGTTGGTGCAGTCACTATAGAAGACAGTATGGAGGTTCCTCAGAAAATGAAAATGAGAACCACCATATGATCCAGTAATTCCACTTTTGGATATTTATCTGAAGAAAACTAAAACACTTACTCAAAAAGATATATGAAACCCCATATTCACTGCAGCATTATTCATAACAGCCAAGATTTAGAAACAATCTAAGTGTCCATAGATGGATGAATGGATAAAGAAAATGTGGCATTCACGCACACACACACACACACACACACACACACACACACACAGGAATATTGTTCAGCCATAAAAAAGAAGGACATTCTGCCTTTTGTGATGACATGGATGGACCTTGAGGGCACTATGCTAACTGAAAAAAGTCAAGCAGAGGAAGACAAATATTGTCTGATCTCACTTATATATGGAATCTACAAAACAAAACAAAACCAAAATCATAGATATAGAGAACAGACTGTTGAAGGTGGGAGAGGAGTTGGGGAATGGAGGGGGTTAGCAAAATTTTTGAAAGGTGCCCAAAAGTGCAAATACAGGCCGTGGCTGGGTAGCACAGTTGGTTAGAGCACCCTCCCAATATGCCAAGGTTGCAGGTTTGATCCCCAATCAGGGCACATACAAGAATCAACCAATGGATGCATAAATAAGTCGAACAACAAATCAGTTTTTTTTTTCTTTTTTCTCTCTCTAAAAAATAAATAAGAAAAAATATAAAAGAAATAAGTCCTGGGGATGTAATGTACAGCATGGTGACTATAATTATAATTATAATTGTATTGCATATTTGAGAGTAAATCTTAAAAGTTCTCATCACAAGAAAAAATATTCTGCAACTATATATGGTGATGGATGCTAGCTGGACTTATTGTGGTGACCATTTCACAATACATATAATAACAAATCATTATGTTATATATCTGAAAATAATATAATGTAGGTCAACTATACCTCCCTCAATAAAAAATAAAAATAATAAAACACCAGGTTCAAAATTATATCTTTTAGCCATGTCATTAAAGCAGATTTTTGTGAATTAAAAATAGCATGAAAACTGCTTTAAAACCTGTGAGACAGGGAAGGCCATTCTGCATGGACCTCTAGGTTTTCAGATCAGATACCTGGGTTCTCTATTGAAAATGACACCCTCTCTCTTATGAGCTATGGTGGGTAGCTTCTGAAATCAAATGGGTTTGGAAACAATACTCTATTGATATTTGAACCGTTCTCATTGTCTCTACATAGTGGTTCTAGTAGTTAGAAAGATCTATATTCCTACAGCTTCCCCTTACCGGTCATAGGGTAGAGTTTTAGACAGACATGAATACAGTATTTAAGGTGCATAGAGAAAAAAGTGTGTGTGTGTGTATGGGGGGTGGGGGTGGTGGAGAGGGATTGCAGAGTGGCATTACCTTAGGCATCCTGTGACATTGTAGAATATATCAAAATCGAGCAAACCATTCGCTTTGGGGTAGTCTCCTTCTGGCCACCCCGAATAGGGGATGATGATATTCTCAGTCAGGATAATCAAGGCTTCTGTTATCATGAGATTCTTGAGTTTGTCACTAGAGGACAAATTCCACAGCAAACCTAGAATCAAAACAGTGCAGGATTGGGTCAAAAGAACTGCTGAAAAGATCAGTTAAGGCCATCACTTCTAGGGCTATGACTAGTTATAAACCAAAAGGGTAGGGCTAGGGAGACAGCCCCTTCTCCAATTGAAAAAACTTGTTTAGAGGTAATTAGAATTCAATAGAAGCTGATCCATAAGAACAACTGAAAAATAGACAGATAGGCAGGTAGATAGGTAGATAGAGAAGGGGGAGAGGAAGAGAGCTTATAATATAAAACTATGCAAATTTAAATTAATCAGGAATGTGAATGAAAGCCAGAAATCCTTAAACATTTATTGCCACTTCTCTGAAGCCACTACCATAAGCCGAGCTCACTAAAATAATAAATTCTGAGCTACCAAGAGGGAGGCTTGAAAGACCCTATTATAACTGACTTCAACGTTTTCAAAGGGTCCTATTTTTCTCCTTTAGGAGAAAAATGCATGAGGGAATACACCACTGTGCAACTTCCACCTCACATTTGCCTCCCAATACTCACAGGAAGGGCCTGAGGAAAGCCTCCAACTATGCTTATGCCTGTCAACAGTAGGCTGATCAACATTACCAATTACTATTTATTGACTCCAACCCCATGATAGATTTTATGTCCTCCTGGAATTTATGCTGGCTACCTCACCTATTTCTTATATTTATAGTTTGGCAATGAAGGAGAGACAAGAGTATTTTATCTATCTGCCAACTTGTATGGCCCGAGAATTGGTCTAAGACGGGTACCACATTTGCTCGTTTAACTTTCCCTTTCTTTCTGAACTCTCCCCATCCCATACCCCACCCCTATTAAAGAGAGAAAGGCCATATAAGCCAACTCAGGAAAAAATTAAGATAATAAGATACTGTACTTTCCAGACATTTGTGAGACAGTCTGAAGCTGGGTAGTGAGAAAGAATACAAAATGGTGTATACATTTAGGGTTTGTTTTTCTTATATATTTTTTGCTCAAATACTTCTGATTCAGTGGAAAGACTACATACCTATTGCTTACTATTCCAGTGACTCTCAGAAGGTATAAAGTTGCCTGGCCATCTTTCATACCCTCAGTAAACTTCTTTAACTCACTAGCACCCAGGAAAGGAGAAAGAGGGGGAACAGAAAGAGAAGGGATCTTCATTTTCTTTCCCATTCACTCTCCTACTGCCCAGTCAATAATGCCTATGGGTTAAAGCAGCGGTTCTCAACCTGTGGGTCGCGACCTCTTTGGCGGTCGAACAACCCTTTCACAGGGGTCGCCTAAGACCATCCTGCATATCAGATATTTACATGACGATTCATAACAATAGCAACATTACAGTTATGAAGTAGCAACGAAAATAATTTTATGGTTGGGTCACAACATGAGGAACTGTATTTAAAGGGCCAGAAGGTTGAGAACCACTGGGCTAAAGTTACTGCTTTGTCTGGATGAAAGGAAAGAGGAAGCATAGGAATACAGGACAGTTTACTTTATGAAAAAAAAGCAAAGATGGCGGTCTTGACTGAATTATGTGGTGATATCATCTCCTCTAACATTAATGACTGAAATAAGAGTCTGTGCAGTTAAAGCTTGGTAATTATTCAACCACACTTGTAGTTGGCTCATCAATTAGAACATGCTAGGCTTAGTGTTTAAACAATTTACTTTGGCTGTGTACAAGTGACTAATTTCTAAAACAATAACCAAATTTCCACTGCAACCTACACTTAGCTTCCATTAGATACGGCGACACTGGGTCTCGAGTCTTGTAAGGACTAGAATTCTGGCTAATGAAGAGGTCTCTTCCTGATCAAACTAGCATTGGAGTTAGTCATCCTCAGTGTCCCTCAGCCACAGGTTTTGCAACACAATGACTTCATTCCTCCCACTTCACCTTAAGAGGCCCTGGAAGGGCAAGAGACAGAATAAAACCCCAGGTGGTTGAAAACAATTAAAGGCAGGTCTGAGGTAGAGTTTTGGTTACTAAGATACCAAAGAAAGTTAAAAAGAGAAAAGGGAAAAAAGCTTCCTGTTCTAGATAAGCAAGCAAGTTAAGAGTCTCTGCTTGTGGTGATGGAAGGAGACTTGACTTGCAGAGGTGAACACACAAGACAATATACAGATTGTATTATAGAACTGTACACTGAAACCCATATAACTTTATTAACCAATATCACCCCAATAAATAAATAAAAAAGAGTTTCTTCCTGCTAGAGGCTTAAAAGTGTGAAGCATAATACTTTCTTTTTTATTAAAGACCACACAGGGCACGCAAAGGAAAAGTACACCTACAATAAAACCCAGGGAAGATTAATTTGAACAAAGGGAGTGGAATTTCCTTTCAATGTCCTTTATAGCTTGACATGCAATTATTATTTCTATGCTATTTCTATGGTTTGGGATGTTTTAGTACACGTAATTTTTGAATTTTTAATGTAGGGTATTGTATAGAAATGTCATGCCTGCCAAATTTCTGTAAGGCACGAAGCTAGGAAGAGCTTAAATGCTCAACAGAGATGCAAGATTATACACACTTATAACACACCCTCACACATATACACACAAATCCAACAAATATTCACTTACAAATTGGGAAAACATGTATGACAATATGAGACAAAGAATTAATACTCTTAATATACATAGTTCTTATAAATTATTAAAATTCAATGCCTAGTAGAAAAATTAACCCCAAGTTAACAGATACTAGAGTCTAATATACATAGGAATGCATGTTCTCCAGTAACCGAAGAAATGCAAATTCAACAGTGAAAAATCATTTACAGCAGGTGAAACCAGAACCAATGAGTGGAAATGATTGGGAAGGAGATTTCTGGCTCCCTGAAAGCATAAGCTTCTAAGAGAGCACTGAAGAAAGCAGAAAGATCTGCTTGTAAGATCCATCTCCATAATTGGAGCTGATAAAAATGAGCTCATCTTTTACCAAAATATTGACAAGAGGGCTTTATTCTGAAACCAGTGTTTTAGACTCAACTAGCAGTTTCCAAATGAGCCCAGTGGCAAATCAGAACCATGTATTCCTGGGTTACACACCAAACTGACTGAGCCAGAATCTCAGGATGAATTCCAGGAATTCATATTTTCAAAATGATTCCCATTTCTGGTATTGGGAAATTAGTGAACTAGATAAACCTGAATATCTATTCAATGATCTGATTCTAGACTCCCTGATATAATATTTAGAGTTTAGGTCTTCATTTGTCTCACCTTTAACTTCTGGGTAATTTATTCATAGTGCCTAAATTTCAATTATTATAGTTCTTTGTTGTAGCTGGTCTGCCTATTGTTTCTATCACAAAGCTCTCATTTTAGCCAAAAAGAAAGGGAACTGGATTCTAGTAAGAGATATACTTTGAATAGTTAGCAATAATGATAACTGCATTATCTAGAAATTTATTGTCAACTGTGATATTTGCAAAACATAGCTAACTAGTGATCTGTAAAGGGATCTTACAGATATTACCTATATTTTAATATCTTACAGATATAACTGGAAGTATAGTTATTTCACTGGACTGGAAGTATAGTTATTTCACTAAGCCTGCATGATAATGAGGTAGCAAAATGTGCGAATTTTATGATTAAATGAATCCTTCTCTTCAGTGCAGGAGAAAGGGAGCAGGAGCAGGAAAAGAACTGACTGGGGTGTTTGTTTTCTGTTTTTGTTTTTGTTTTTTTTTTTTTTTGGTTAATCCTCACTTGAGAATATTTTCCCATTGATTTTAGAGAGAGTGGAAGGGAGAGGGAGTGACAGAGAGAAACATCGATCAGAGAGTGACACATCGATTGGTTGCCTCCCTCAGGCGCCTGGACCAGGGCTGGGGATCAAGCCTGCAACCCAGGTGCCCTAGACTGGAATCGAACTTGGGACCCTTCAGTCCATAGGCCAACACTCTGTCCACTGAGCCAAACCTAGTAGGGCTTAACTTTGTTTTTCAAAGTGATCACAGAGCATGAGGATTTTTCAAAAAACAATCTCTTTTGCAAGAATATACCCTTCCTTTCACCTAAATTTTATAAATTTTACCTGGGATATTACATTACCACAAAGGCCATTTATTCCAAGTTAAAAATAAACCCAAGGTATGTTGTTGCACATTACAAATGCAGAAAAAAATAACATATAATTATTTAAAGAAGGTGCACAATGAATATTTTATAGAAAAATGGTTTTGATATCTTATGAAAATACAGCAATCCAAAAAAGTATTTCTATAAAATACACAGAGGTTAAAATAAATTTTCAACAAATTTCATTGACAGTCTTCCCCTGCCTCTTCCTTGCCATATGCAGAAGGGGAACAAGAATCCCCTAAATCTTAACACCTGTCTGTTTTAATCCAAGGCAGAGCCCTACAACTACAGCCAGTGCTCATTCCTCAGTGACCTTGAAAATGAATCTCTGAGACTAGTATGTACTGTTCTCATTTCAATCAAAGTACACTACCACACTCCCTGGTAAGGAAGGGGGAACAATCTCATGGGGGAGAGATCTTTGATCCTGAAGTCTTTTCATTGGAAGAGGGAAGAGCTTCTCTCCAAGGCTGGTACAGAAAATGCCAGAAAGGTCAGTGACTTGACATTCTCTATAGGGAACAAAGCTCTGATAGAGAGAGAGAACATATAAATTGACGGTTCTATTAATAACTTGGTTAGAAAAATCAAAGTCTTATCTGAAAACACACCTGATTCTCTTATTTATGTATAATCCAAATATTCCCAGGCCATAAGTCTGGTTTTGTAAAATATTTGGTCAGACGTCCACAGTTGTTGAGAATCTTACATGAGCACCAGTGCTATGGCAACAAACAGACAGGCATGAAATGAGTGGCAACCTAACATTAAAGAATGCAAAGGTAGATCAGAGAAGCCCCTCCCTTCAAAACCAAGGGAGAGGGGCTGAAAGTAAATAGAGGGATGGCTTTTGAAAATAACTTCAGAGAGTGACAGCTATGGAAGGTTTCTAAGTGTAGAACAGGATGCCAGTCCAAGGCAACAGTGGCAAAGATATGGAGACAGAGGGAAACATGGAACACCGGCGGATCCTTTAGCATTGCAGAACTCGGGCTGGAGGGGTACGAGAGGAGACACTGCTGCAAGGTCATCAGGCTCAGATAATAAGAGGGAAACATGGAACACCGGCGGATCCTTCAGCATTGCAGAACTCGGGCTGGAGGGGTACGAGGAGACACTGCTGCAAGGTCATCAGGCTCAGATAATAAAATCTGTGTGTGGCATGCTACAGAGTACAGACTTTACCTTATAGGCAATGGGGGGCATAATGAGACAATATTTTCATTTTAGAAAGAAAGCACTAGCAGAGTGGTGGATAGATGGGGAATGTGCGATACCGAATCACAGAGGCCAGATCCAAGGCTACACAAGAGCAGAACAGACAGTGACAAGAGGAGAGAGGGAGCGTCAAAGAGAAGTGAGGGAGAGCTCTTTCCTCCGAGATTCTCAAAGACAAGCCCCTTTTCAAAGATGAGTAAAGATTAATCACCCCGTGTCCCCACACTGTCAGTGGGAGCCACTTTGATAGAGCAAAAACACCCAGATAAAACTGGGCTCAAATCTGGACTTTGTTCTTTACTGTGTAACCTTGGGCCATTTACTTAATCCCCCTGAACCTCACATGATCATATGTAAATCCTCAATAATGCCTTTTAGAGCTTTCAGGAGGAACAGATGAAAAAGGAAAAGCCCAAGTTGAGTGACTAGCACATAATAGGGACTCAATAAAAAGATGTTTATGAAATAGACAAGAAGAGATTCACATATATGGCTACTCACTTTGTGTTTCCAACAAAAGATATAAACATGTCTATTCAAGTCAATAATTTATTTCTGAGGCCAGAAAAGCACTTATTTAACTTTTCTACTAATAGAACTAAAGGAAGTTATTAAGAAGGATTTGTATCAAACATTCAAGTATTGGCTCAATTCAATGAACATATAATGAACACCCTCTGGTAGGAATGTTGGCTTATATTAGAAGTCCTGGGACTAGCACAAGCAAACTCCATTGATCAGCTCTGTAGATGATCTAAAGATGACTGAATGGTTGCCATGGCAGCAATACCACAGAATGTTCTCTGACCTTAGTTTCCTATTTTCCTATACAAAAGAAGAGGAAGTCTGAGTCAATGAATTACTTCCTTGATACACACCCACACATCCTCCCAAGCTTTCTAGCAACCCCAGTACCCTAAGCTCCATCACTCTTTATCCAAGCTTCCTCTAAATGACCAGCAGCTTCTTTCTGTTTCTTTGCTTTGCTAGTAGTGATGTTCCCTTTGCTGGGAATAACTTTCATTCTCCTTTAAAACATCAGCCCCAAGGCTATCCCTTTTTTAAGGTCTACAATGAAACATACCTCCTTCATGAAGTCTTTTATTTTTTTAACTGTAAAACAAGATTCTCTCTTGTGGTTCATTTCTATATTTTAATGAAGAAAATCTTAGTTTCTAAATGTGAGTTTTTTTGTGTTTTTTTTTGCCAACCATTACATAATGGTTCATGTTTTAATGGCTGGAAAATAAAAGCCACACCACCTCTCTGGACTGTGATTTTCACTGCCTGCCCATGGTAGGCTGCCTTGTAAATGTTGGCTGAATAAATGAATGAGTATCTAGATCACTCAATTTCTGTAGGTATTTTAATATGACTCATAAATATGAAAGGAACTACGCCATGGGGCATGATAGCAGTCAGGCAGAAGGGTAGCATGGCACAAACCTTCATATAGCTTTATAAAATAAAAATACATCAAGACAGAAAAAATGTGAGATTTTAAGATATAAATGAGAGGATATAATAGTTTTATAGAAAAAAGAAAGCTGTTGTATAATAAAGTGTGGATGGCATAAGCACAATATATTCAACTTAAAACCACATTTATGAAGTACCTCATTTTAAAGTAAAAATAGTCAACTATTACCACTGAAAAACATTTATATATTAAAAGGGTTAACTTCTTTGGGTTTTAGTTTCTTCGTGTAAAATACATTGGGTAGAAAGGAGATATTCTTTTGTTCAAATCAGTATTTGAACAGATACAGGAAGTACAGAACTGAAAAACATATCCAGCCCCTCTTTTCTTTTTCTCTTTTTTGGGGTGGAGGGCTAGGTGGGCTAGGAAGCTGGTATTTTGAGGGGCTCAGGTGACAGAAGGATTGGGAAGTACAGTTACTGGTATTTTGGTTAATTTGATTATACTGATCCTCTATGTTAGGACACTATTTGACTAATTTACTTTCTTTGTATAGATTTAGCAAATAGAGTATTGAGTGAGTAATAAAATGAATTGAGTGTGGTTCTTGTTGGGTTTCTTCAGAATGTTTTGGACACCATGGACAACATTGAAACCCTGTTACAAAGTTCACTGTAATTTCTTCCTCAGAAGAAAAAGAATTCAAACTTGACTTGACCTGGGGTCTTAGTCAGCAGGTGACAATGTTCCTTAAAAGCCATCTGTCAAATAACAATGACCCCATCAATCATTTGTCCCAGGAAACTTAAGAAAAAGAGATGACGTAACACATTTGGCTGGGGTGCACTGTCTATACACTTTAATATTCAGTAAACACTACCTGTTATTTGTTTTTTAGTCTCCAAGTCTCTGGTTTGCTTCAGCACCTGCAGCAGCCGAGGTACCCCGTTGAGTTCAGCTACCTCCAACTTAAACATCATTTAAAAGGGTACGGTCTTTTTTTTTTTAGTTTTATTCATTTCAAACGGGCTGGATGCGGTCCCGTAGTTTGCCCACGGCTGGTCTATACACTTAAATATTCAGTAAACACTACCTGTTATTTGTTTTTTAGTCTCCAAGTCTCTGGTTTGCTTCAGCACCTGCAGCAGCCGAGGTACCCCATTGAGTTCAGCTACCTCCAACTTGTTGTCATTGTCTTCAAACACCAAGTTTCTCAAGGCCCCACACACGGCTCTCTGAATATCTTCATTCTGAACTTTTAGGAGGTGCAGTAGCTTGGGGATGCCTTGAAGCTGATAGACCTGGGGGAGAAATGGATGCACATTTCAGATACTGTACATATGTATTAATTTTGACATGGTATTAAAGACATCCAGTGAAATTTGAATGAACAGATGAAGTTGATTTTAACTCCCGTCAATCAACAACTATGTGTGGCATACATATAGTGTAAACAAGCATGTCAAACTCAAAGGCTAACACGGGCCAAATAAACGAGGCATGCGGCCCGAGGGCCATGAGTTTGACATGCTTGGTGTACAATATAGTCCTGCTGTCAGGCATCTCTCATCAAGGAGCTTACAATAAATTAGAGAAGTTAACACAAAAACCTATGAAAAAAATGAAAGAGAAAATTAAGTGATAAAGGGTGAATAAGGATAGCTAAGTGGATAGAAAGAGTTAAGTGATAAAAGCCTTGAGCATAAGAAAGATGAAGAGAACTAGGAATTTGAGGAGTAAGGAAAGTTTTATGGAAGAACACCACATTACATGAGTGTTTTTTTCTAGGACAGAACTTTATAATCAATAGAAACTGAACAGAAATCACCTTCATCAATGGTAGCAATAAAAATTCATTTACCATGGCAACCACAGGAGCAATGCAAACTAACCCTTAATGTAAACTATTTTTATGATCAACTAGAGGCCCGGTGCATGAATTCATCCACAGGTGGGGTCTGGCTGGCCCCCCATCAATGGGGGATGATTAGGCCGGGCCAGCAGGAGGGAGGGGACATGGGAGGTTGGCTGGCTGGCCCCGCCCCAGATTGAGATGGGGGGGATCAGAGATGGGGCCGGTCGGGAGGAGGAGCCGGCTGAGGGGAGGGTCCATGGGAGGCTGGCCAGCCAGCCGGGCCCCCAATCTGGCCAGGGCCAGTCAGAGGGAGGGGTCGCCCCCCTATCGGGCCGGTTGGCCAGCCGCAGTGCACATCATAGCGACCGGTCGTTCTGGTGTTCTGGTCACTTCGCTTTTATATATATATAGATTGCTTTGAGTATTTAAAAAGATTTATATACTTTATCCAAACATTTTAATTCAAGTAAATAACATAACTTTACACTTTTTAATGTGCTATTTTAAAAAGATTTCTTCTTTACAAATACGCAAGAGAGGACATGCTGTCTATTAGAAAAAGGGCCAGAGCTAGGAGTAAGAAGAAAAATAGATGGTTTAGATTCCAAAACCTATGGCTGTTTGAGAATGGGCCAAGTAATGGCAGCCTGAGCAAGGAGATTTTGTGTTTTAGGCAGCACATATTATGTAAAGAAATCAAGAGGTGGACACAGGGTTGCTGCAGAGAAATGTTAAGTTGTAGACTAAGAGTTTTCTTTCCCATAGGCTTCCATTAGCATGTGATTTAAAAAGTTGGTTAAGAACTTTTGATAAAAATCCCAGTCATTTCCAACATCTTAAAGCAGACATTTTTAGGACATAAATTGTGAAAGGGCAGGAGTTTCCCTTTCAGATGAAGTTCATTGCCTATGATGCCCTAATTACACAGCAGTTCATGTTTGGGTGAGAGCTGCACACCTGGCCCAGGGGGCACGTTTTCTTTTTTTTCTTTTAAAAAAAAAATATTTTATTGATTTTTTACAGAGAAGAAGGGAGAGGGATAGAGAGTTAGAAACATCGATGAGAGAGAAACACTCCCTACTGGGGATGTGCCCACAACCAAGGTACATGCCCTTGACTGGAATCAAACCTGGGACCCATGAGTCTGCAGGCCGACTCTGGCCCAGGGGGCACGTTTTCTTTTTTTTCTTTGAAAAAAAAAATATTTTATTGATTTTTTACAGAGAAGAAGGGAGAGGGATAGAGAGTTAGAAACATCGATGAGAGAGAAACACTCCCTACTGGGGATGTGCCCACAACCAAGGTACATGCCCTTGACTGGAATCAAACCTGGGACCCATGAGTCTGCAGGCCGACGCTCTATCCACTGAACCAAACCAGTCAGGGCCAGGGGGCACGTTTTCATATTTCCTGTGTCTCATCAAATGTCAGCCTGCCTTCCACAGACAGATAAATATTATTAAGATCCAGTCTTCCAATTTTACATCTTCCTTTGTTAGGATTGGGGAGAAGACTAGAAAGGCAGGAATGAAAGCCAAAATGATAAAATAACCTAAATAATCACCACAATAATAATAAAACAAAAATAACAACTCCTCCTCCCACTTCCATCATTAGGAAGTGCTAGCACAGTGTTCAGGGTGTTATAAATATTATCCAATCAATAGCTCGCTAGAACCTTAAAAGGAAAGTACTCTTTTGGTCCCTAAGGCTCCACTGGTGGTAATGAGGAGTCATATTTCCACTTACTGGCTCCCTTCAGAGGAGACATTTGCAGAACAGGAGACAACCGGAAGATGGACCACACCAATTTTGACAGGTGATGTCTAGAGCCATTGTAATATATGTGTATGACAATGCCAATGATAAAGATTTCATTTCCTAGCTATCAATGAAACCTGATCATCTATTGGATCACTTCATCTATTCCCATTATTATATTTCCTTAAAAGCAGAAAGGTAGAATTTATTTAAAAACAGCCTGTAACTCACGTTTCCCTAATTCCTTCAAATTCTATTTCATAGCTAGGTTTTGAGGCAGTTCACTCCATAAACATCACAAATGCCAGCTAGATGAAATCTTCACAGGAGCAGCATAAACATCAGATGCAAAAAGAAAATCTTATTTGTCCTGAAGGTATGTTGGCAGATTTAGAAATATTTTATTACTTAATTCATAATTTATAAGCTGCCTTCTTCTAAATATGATGTTCGGTGGCTTACTGATCACCCCACATTTCCAGCCGGGAGGACAGCATTAGTGAGAAGTGGCCCATGGAAACCTCTGACGGGGCTGCAGGCTTCTGTTTCACAGCCTTCTGACCTGTTCTCTGACCCGCTCTCTTAGCCGACCACTTCTCTCCCTCGGCTTTCAGCACCTGTAGACACACCATGCTCAGATAAATGCTGAAATCCGACTACAGCTCTACTTCACTGCAGAATTTGACTCACTAGTGTCTGGCATCTACCCTATATTTAAAAATAGAAAAGTTACTTTTACCCCTTTTATCAAGCAAATGGATATAAATCTTATCAAATGCACGAAGCTGATGATATTCTCCTTATTGCATAGAACTGGACGGACACTGGTCATGAACCCTACACACATCAGGTCTAATGTCACAGGTGTTGTTCCTGCTCCTTTAAATTCAGGGCAGCAGCTGGAGCCAGAGAGGTTACATCTGTTTCCCAGTTATACTAAATCCTCAGGGGATTTGTTCTCCCTTTGGGGGAAGGAAAAAAGAAACAGACTAACACGAATGTCTTAGGACTTCAAAGGAACTTTCCTTTGAGATGGTTTGTAAATATATACAGGGGCAAAATCACATATTAGAATTTTAAGTTTCTCTTTTGACTCTATTCTGATTTTCTTCCCTGCCAACTCTAAAATAATTAACTGATTAGGATTTCTGGTGGCAAATCCGCAAAAAGGAACAGACCGCCTCTCTTGGGGTGAGGGCTCCCCTCGTGCCTCGGTGCCTTTGCTCTCTTTCCTTCCTGTTGGGGATGCTCGCCCCCCCTGCCTCTCTTCTGGCAAAGCCCTACTTATCCTGCAGGAGCCAGCTCAAATGTCACCTCATCTGTGAAATGTCACTCCCATTCTCTCCTTTCTGTCCCCTTAGAATTAATCACTCCCTATAAATTGGTACTAAAACCCTTCAGGAAGGCAACTGACAATTTATGTCAAAAAGATTTCTATTCCAGAAATCTTAGTTAGGAAACAATATGAAATGCAGAAACAATTTGAAATGCAGACACTATGATAGTCACTACATTATTTATAATAGTGAAGAATAAGAAACCATAATTGTCCAACAATGGGGGAAGACTGGTTAATGATTAATTGTCACATATCCACATGGTGAGGTATACATGGGAGAGGCAGAACAATGACACAGCTACCTCATCCGTCAAAAGAGGGCTGTGTAAGACTGTGTGTGAGGCATGCAGTAGTTACTTAACATGTGGTAGCTGCTACTATCACCTTTAATATGCCACCATTAAAATGCCTACAAACTATTAATGTTATGAGAAAATGCTTATGATATAATGTTACTGAAAAAAAGCTAAATAAAATACTTGCATTTCTACTCATAAAAACAGACATAAAGAAGGGAATGAGATTAGGGGGTTTGGGAGAAATGATGGGGTTTTAAATTATCAATGGGGCCTGTTACTTTGTATATTTTTAAACAGCAAACATATATTTGTGCATACTTTTTTTTTTATTGGTTAAGGTATTACAAATGTGTCCTCATCCCCCCCTTAACCCCCAACCCCCCCCCCCCCCCCCCCCCTTTCTCCTCCC